AGTCCGGTCAAATTGACCATTGACTGTTGCCCAGAGTTGACCAGTGTTGACTTGATAGGGATGGTCAACCTTAGTGGTACAAGTATTAATAGAGATATATGATGTTATAGGAGGAGTATAGCTCGGGGGTTCGAGCATGAGTGATTTCTAGGGTTCACGAGTTATCGAGATATACGAGGTGAGTCTTCTCACTATACTGTACTCGGAAGGGTTTGACTGTGTGACCGGAAGGTCGAATATGATATGAGATATATGCATTATGTGTGATAAGTTAATCGTTATATGTGTCATGTATGATATGCTTGATATGGGCTAGAAGGCATTATGTTATGGGCCGGAAGGCGTTGTAAAATGGACCGTAAGGTAGGACCGGAAGGTTTACCCAGTCGGGACGGAAGTCCCCTGAGACACATCGACCGGAAGGTCAGGGCCTGGAAAGGTGTATGTGCGTAGGTTGTATTTTGGGGAACTCACTAAGCATTTATGCTTACAGTTGTTATGTTATGTGTTTCAGGTACTAGTGAGGACCGTGAGAAGGCGACGGCGTGATCGTACACACACTCAGGGGAAACTATTTTTGTGATCTTTGTTATGTAATCGGTCGTGACAATATTGGTTACATTGGAATCTAAATTATCACTCGATGTTTTTGATGTTTGTAAGAATGAAAAATTGGTTTTAAAATTTACGTCGTTACAATTGATGAGAAATATCCTGATTTTGCTAGCGAACCAAGAAATTTGCGGGTAGGCATTTTGGTTGACGGAGGTGATGTTAACAGAGGGAATAGGAATCATAGTGTTTGGCCTGTTTTAACTGTCATTTAGAACCTTCCACCATGGTTGTGTATGAAGATAAAGTTCATCATGTTTTCGTTATTGATTTTAGGAACACCAGGAAATGATATTGATGTGTTCCTAGCACCTCTTATTGATGATCTCCAATTATTATTTGATACTGGAGTTGAAACATACGATGCATATGCAGAAGAGCACTTTAAGCTACGTGCAGTTGTGTTATGGACTATTAATGATTATCCTGTTCTAGGTACATTAAGTGGTTGCCCATACAATGGTTTTCAAGGTTGTGTTGTGTGTAGCGAAGAGAAACACTACATTAGACTCCCTGAATCGAATAAGCACAGTTATGCTGGTCATAGAAGATTTCTACCGTATGATCACCCGTTCATGTAGCACCTGGTTCATGATATGTATTTTAATCTAAGTATTTTTGCATTTTTAGCTGGAACTCGGCGAGTTGCAGGCCCGACTCGCCGAGTAGAGGCGAGATATCAAGCACGTTTAAGTTGGCGACTCGACGAGTCCATATCTTGGACTCCACGAGTCCGCCGGTCTGGATGAAACCTTGACTTCAAGGGTTTGCACCCTATTTAAACCCCCCTTATGTGCCCCAAGCTCGCCCCCTTCACTCTCATAGCATCCTTTATCAAAACCTAACCCTCCCCTTTGTGATTTGAGTGTTTGTGTGCTTTTCCTTGAAGTTTGAAGAAGAGAAGGAAGGAAGGACCAAGGAGAAGTAGAAAAGCAAGGATCTGGAACTCAATCCAGAGTCCATTGACGTATATTTCGGATCTTTTCTGTTGCCATGATGATTTTCTTTTAGAAACCCCATTTAAGCCATCTTTATCCATTTCCTAGCTTGATTGTAATACATAGATCATATTGAGTGGAATGGCCTTTGAATATAGCTAGGTTTGAGCTTCAAGAGCCTAGATTTACTGCCTTTATGGAGACATATTCCGTGAAAGCCCTAGATCTACTATTTTAGTGTGTTTTGAGTCTTAAAACCGCCATTGGTGTTTATCTACACGTAAAGTTGGAAACTTTACGTGTTAATCGAGCCCTAAGAACCTAGATCTATGGATGGAATGCACTAGGTCAAGCAAAATCGAGTATATAGTGATTGCATGCATGCGACTCAGCGAGTCGTTCTTCAGACTCGGTGAGTTGAGTCGCGAGTCCCCGATTTTCCCTTTTCAGTTATGCCGAGTGGGATCAGTGAGCTATAAGCGGACTCAGTGAGTCAGAAGCCAGACTCAGTAATGGAGGGACTCGGCGAGTCAATGCCCTGACTCGGCGAGTCCAAAGCAATCTTCTTGCCTCAAGAACAGACTCGATGAGTTGTTCATACAACTCGGCAAGTCACGGACTAGAGTGTTCATCGGATGAAGATGAACTCGACGAGTTGTTCATACAACTCGGCGAGTCGAATGAAAGACTATTGGATATCTGTATGGAAGGAGAACTCGTCGAGTCAATGCCTAACTCGACGAGTTGGGGCGGGAGTGAGGACAATCGAATGGACATGACTCGATGAGTTAGCGAGCTAACTCGGCAAGTCGGGTCAACTGGAAGTTGACCTTGACTTTTGACTTTTGACTTGGTTAGAGGTAAAATGCTCATTTTACCCTAAGGAAAATTAGCAGTGTTTGATTGAGTGTTTCGTGGGAATTGTAGCCGGAGGATTTCCGGAGCAGCAGCAGCAGACAAACAGTTCCCGCACAGATCAATAGCTACTTCGAGGTGAGTTACCTTCCAGTAGCGGTGAGTTACCTTCGAGGTGAGTTTTGCTACTACCTGATATGTTATATGCTAGCTTGATGTGTTATAGTAGTGGAGTTCGGTTGTTAGGACCGAAGGGTAGTCAGACACCCTAGATACGTCTGACAGTATGTGATCTCATGATTATATGCTAGCATGTTTTGAGATATGTGTTAGGGTAGTAGGAGGGGAATAGTCCCCGAGTTCGGTTGTTAGGACTCGAAGGGTATTTAGACACCCCAGATATGTCTAATAGTATGTTATGTTATGATATGTGATAGTAGTAGTGGTAGGGGTGAAATAGTCCTCGAGGTTCGGTTGTTAGAATCGAAGGGTGGTCGGCACCCCAGAATGGCCGCATGGGTAGGTCGACACCCCAGAATGGCTGTACCGGGTAGGACGGCCACCCCAGAAATGCCTGACATGTATGGTATGTTATATGATTGTATTGTATGTTACATGATTGTATGGTATTTGGTATGTTGGGGGAACTCACTAAGCTTTGTGCTTATAGTTTTCAGTTTGGTTTCAGGTACCTCTTCTTCAAAGGGGAAGGAGTTGGGGCGGTAGCGATACATCATACACATACACTATTTTCCACCTTACGAGATTGTTCTGGGATTTGTACTCTAATATTCAGTTGATTTCGTATTTTGGTTTTTCAAACATGATATATGATTGTGGAATGTTTGGATCAGACAATGTTTATTTACATATGCTTTTCAAAGTATTGATTTTAAAATTGAAATTTTTGGACGTAAAAATTGGGCTGTTACAGTTCAGAAGACAAAAAAAGACATTCAACAAGAGTTCTCACCTCTCCAAAACCTATGAATGGGGAGGAAATATATAACAGGGTGAAATTTATAATTTATAAATGGGGAAAGGTTAATAAGGGCAAGGAGGCAGAAATCCAACAATCTACAAGTGGAAAAGGTGGGAAGATTAATAAAAAAAAGAGAAAATCACACCAAGTGGGTACTTTAGATGTGGGCCAGCAAAATAATACATACTGGAAGAAATTCAATATATGGTATAGACAACTAAGGTATTGGCCCGATAATTTGGTTCCACATTGTATAGATTTTATGCATGTGGAAAAGAATGTGGGCGAGAGTTTAATAGGAACTGTGTTGAACGTTCCCGGGAAGAGGAAAGATGGTTATAAAGCTCGATTGGATTTGGTTCATTGTGGTTTAAAACCAAAGTTGCATCCTCAGATAGAAGGGAACAACACAACACTTCCCGCAGCAGGTTGTACATTGACAAAAGAGGAAAAAGACAAATTTTGTGAGACTTTATACAACTTAAGGGTTCCTCAAGGGTATTGTTCTATTTTTTCTAGTTTGGTAAGTCTAAAAGATAGGAAGTTGATCGGACTAAAATCACATGACTATCAAATGCTCATGCAACAATTTTTGCTCATAGCAATTTGATCTATTATGCATCCACCCACCAGAGTTGCTATTACAAGGATTTGTTTCTTTTTCAAATCAATATGTAGAAAAGAAATCATAGTGGATAAGCTCGATAAGTTGCAAAAGGAGTTATATGTAACCTTATGTCTTCTTGAGAAACACTTTCCACCATCATTTTTTGATGTGATGATTCATTTAACCGTTCATCTAACTAGGGAAGTAAAATTATGTGGTCCAATATTCTTTAGATGGATGTACCTGTTTCAAAGGTTTATGAAGGTTACACTACAAAAAATATGTCATTTAGTGGCACACAAAAAGTGCCACTAAAAGTCCAAAAAAATGCCACTAAAGGCTTCTCAAAGAATCAGCAGCACACTTAATAAATGCCACTAGAAACGCTCCCACTAAAACCTTTTAGTGGCACTTTTTGTTTTTGCTGCTGCAGTTTTTAGGCTTTCAGTGGCACTTTTTTATTTGTCACGGTAAAACAAATTTCTTTTGTGGCACATATTCTGTGCCACTAAATCTGATTTGATTTAATAATTTGTGTTGTTTTTAGTTACACATTTTAAAATTTTAGTGGCACTTATTTATTTACCACAATAAAAAATAGTGGCATTTTTTATGTGTCACAGTAGAAGAAAATTTTTTGTGGCATATATTTTGTGCCATTAAAAGCTCATGTGATTTAAAAAATTCATGCTACGTATAATTAGATATTTTAAGATTTTAGTGACAATTTTATTTTCCACAATACAATTTCATCTATAATATAAAATAAAATGAATAATTAAATTGTAGCACATTACAAATAATCAAAATTTTATTGTTTTTCATCAATATTTTTTTTTAACTTTTTGAATCGAATATCTAGGGGAATATCAAATATGTTTAAGTAAATGCTAAACATAAAGTAATGAGAAAAAGTTCAAATATACATATAAAAATAAAATAAAACAAAAAAACAAAGACATGATAGGTTGAATAAATTGTGTTATCTCATACTTTAGAATCAATGCTAGCAATTCCCTGTCAAAAAACAAAGATAATCCAGAATCTAGTGAAACAAGGCTTAGTTTAGAAAATAAATAATATAACACTCAACACAAATAAACTATATTTATAAGAACAAAGGAAAGACAAAAGCTCATAAAAATGATTACCATCATTATGATGACTTTCAGAAGATGCTCTCTGGTTAACTGAATTAGAGTTACGTGGACATGTAGAAGTGTTGCTTGGCATCTGAAACAAATTAATGAAAACATGTAACATTAATGTCCAATTCTAGATATCTTCTACTAGTCTTGTACAAATGTACACCAAGAAGAATATTCAGAAGGGCAAAAGTGGTCATTCTTGAGTCCAATTGGAAATATGATAATGGACTAATTTTAATGAATGTTTTTTTCGTTCATAGGGTAATTGAATAGGAACAATGCAATTATAGATGACATATGTACCTGTATGTTCATATTGCTAAGAATTCCAGACAAGTTTGCATTTGGGATATGTTCTTGGATGATATTTGCCATAACGTTCACCATAGTTTTTAGTTGTTCGACACTCGGATCATTAGAACAAGAAACAACCTTCTCTTTTACGGTAGGTATCCTTCCAACACATCTGATATACCCTCTTTTTTCAGGACCTTTAACTTTAGAGTAGTCATCATTTGAAAAATCATCTACAGATCCTAGGGTATTTGATCCTTGGGTATTTGAGGAATCACTTGCAATGGCTTGTAGGGAAGTCTACATTATAGCAACATACGAAAAACATGACAAGTATTTCTCATCCACTGTTATTGTCCCACTTTCAAATGAATAGCAACATAATATAGCAACCTACTTTGAAAGTGGGACAAATTACAAGGTTTAAAACAAAACAAATAGTATATGACTTGATATGATTAAAAACATGTATATATAATGTCTAGGGAAATCATTACCATAACTTGAGCGACTTTTTCATTCACGATATTTCCATTTTTACGAGTGCGGGTTTTTACATATATTTGTCCTCGTGTTGGGTATACACCATTTTTCAATGCCTATAACAAGATGTAGTTATGTTTGATGAAAATAAATAATTTAAAAAAAAAAGACGATAATATAAGTCAAAATAATAAAATATAATAATACCTCTTCGTGAGCAAGTCGAGCAAATGATTTTGTCCCAGAAACATGGGGCTCTTCCATCTTTGCACGGCTCTTTCTCCTCAAATCACACATGCTCTACAAAATTATTTTCCATAAATTTACTTTATCTTTTACCCACAATAGCAATGTACTTTCTATTTTTTAGTGTAATTGTTTTAACTAAAAAGTAAAAGTAGGGATTCAATGAATAAAAAACATGCTAGGCCATTAAGGGTAACTAACTTTTTTTATTATTTTCCATAAATTTACATTATCTTTTACCCACAATAGAAACGTACTTTCTATTTTTAGTGTAAAATTGTTTTAACTAAAAGGTGAAAGTAGGGATTCAATGAAATAAAAGCATGATTAGCCATTAAGGGTAACTAATGAGTAAAATGATAAATTCCTTAGTTTATGTAAGAAACTAAATATATCACCTGATATTCTGGAGTAAACCAATGAGTAACAAGTTTTTTAAACTGAGTTGGGTTCACCCTGTTATCTTTCTCAGTTTGTTGTGCCACAATTTGATCGATTGTAAGACTTGAATCATATGCACGTGCTTTTAGTGAACCTTTCCAAGTCCTCCACTTTTTCCCCATGCTAAAAAGGATCCATTTCTTGATTTCACTTGTTTCAACCGGATGAATAACAAACTTGGCCTACAAATAAAGCTTACATGTAAATATAAATACACCATAATTTTGATTAATAGATACACACCTTAACCATAGAATACATATCTTCTTTCTTCTGTATAGGGATCTTCCTCCAATCATCATAATCTATTCCGACATGATTAGCCATCCTCACAAGGGTCCCAAGATATTGTACGAGTTCATTTCCTTCATCTCCTACCGGTTTTCCGAACCTATTAAATGTCACTACTATTTTTTGGGAGCTACTCATGTTCCATGTCTCGGTCTTTTGAGTATAGCCCCTTACCTTCTTTTGAGCACCTAATAACAAAATTAGCAAAGTTAACCAAAATTAGCAATAGAGTGATAATATGATAGTTTTCATTAATTAATTAGTAAATAGACATGTGTTTCTTTTTTACTCAAAAACTTGGAAGCCTTTATAATGAGGCAATAAATTTATTCCAAAGGAAACATCTAACCCTTTCTTTGAAAAAAAAAAGCTTAAAAGACTAGGGAAAGATGAAGAATTGAGAAACTTTAAAGAACTATTAATTGAATTTAAGCTTACATATTTCAAATGATGTAAACAAAGAGATAGTTAGATAAAGGAAGTGGACATTTGACCTAGTGGTAGATAAAAGAAGTGGGCATTTTTCATCAACAAAATCAAAACATTTGATCTAGAAACAAATCTACCTACTCAAAATGGATAGCATATACCAAAAAAAAGATATGAAAATATGCAATAATAGTATCAATCAACAAAGTAAGGGTCGTTTACAGAGAACGGTAATTGCTATAAATTGAAATCGTAAATGACAAAAGTAAAAAGAACATGAACTACTTGAAAAAATATATATGTCATTGACTTACCTGATTGACCTCCTTCAGTAGAGTTGTGTTCTTCAGCAGTAGACTGGCCTCCTTCAGTAGTTTGTGGATGATCTGATTGGTCTCCTTCAGTAGGGATATCAGTTTTAGAAAACTCAGAACTTTGATCATGTATCTCACTGTCAATAGGGATATCAATTGAGGTGATGCATAGCCTCTTACGCCTACCCATCCTCCTATAGCACCACAACAGATAAGTACATGCATACAAATATATACATATAATACATAGATACATGCATATAAATATACATATAAAGATAAAGTGCATCAAATTTTCATTAACTATCATCAAATACTAATCTAGTCACTATTATTTTCTTCATCATCTATGACATCTATGTTTTCATTAGCTATTATCATTTCAGGTGTAACATCTATGCCATCATCACCAACCCTATGCAAGTTAGGTACATCAAATATGTCATCATAAGCACCTCCCATGTCAAATACATCTCTAAGCTTTACATGTCGCACAATCTCCCAACCTATATGTTTAGGATCCATGGAGTAGAACACCTTGTCGGCCTGTGATGCCAAAACAAAGGGATCATCAATCAAGTTAACACCGGTATGTGTCTTATATGAGAAGTTGACCAATGTTACATTGCCATCTTTCTTGCAACCTCTGTTGATGTCAACCCACTCACATTTGAATAAAACAACTCGTATCATTCCAGAGTAGTTTAATTCAATAATGTCAGTTAATTTTCCATAATAGTTATTCACGCCTTCGACTGGCCTTCTATCTCGACTAATGGAATAATTTGCACCTTCTACCATAACAGACACACCACTGTTTTGAGTTCGTAGAAGTTCCTCTCGTTTTCTTGTATGAAATCGATAACCTTTAACTAGGTATCCTGAGTATTTTTGCACAACTCTAAGTGGACCACGTGCAAGCCATTTTATTTCGTCAGTTACTTTTTGATCTCCTTGCTCTTCCATGCGTGCAACCTATCAACATAATTATATAATTACATCTTGAAAATCAAAATTTGATACATCCAATATTTATTCCAAATTACCCTTCTCTTAAACCATTCACTAAATTGTTGGCAGTGAATCTTGTTGATTTCATAATCATGTATCCGCCGAGATCGATTTTGTCCCTTGATTATCCTTTTGTGTTCCCTTCAGATAAAGAACAATAATATGAGGTAAATGAAGAATAATATGCAAACGCATAGGAAAACTAGTTTATCTTACTCTCGGAATGGTGAAAGTGATTCAACATTAAATAGGACATAACGATGTGCTTGAGTGAGTGACTTCTCGTCCAAGACGAAATTTGAAGATCTCTTTCTTTTCTGAAGTGATACCCTAGAATTCTTTTTACGTCCCAATGGGCGACCTGGGCAAAGATTGTTAGATTCTTCAATCTCATTTTGATCACCTTCATCATCATTCCTAATTGGTCTAGTAAATATGGTTTCTACTCCTGAGAGATATCTGGAGCAAAATGTTACACATTCTTGAGCTAAATAGCCTTCAGCAATTGAACCTTCAGGATGAGCTCTATTATGAACGTAGGACTTAAGTGTTAGAAGGTACCTATGATTACAATTACAAAAAAATGATCATCTATAGAATAATAGAAGATAATAGGAAAAAGTAACATAAATATTGTTTACCTCTCTATAGGGTACATCCATCGAAAAGCAACTGGACCTCCTAACTTAACCTCTCTAACTAAGTGGATCACCAAGTGCACCATTATAGTAAAGAATGAAGGAGGAAAAATCTTTTCCAATTTGCATAAAGTGACAGAAACTTTTGATTCGAGATATTGGAGATCAACTTCGGTTAAGTCTTTGTAGCAAATGATCCTAAAAAAATCGCTCAACTCTATTATAGTGGAGCTTACATGGTCTGGCAAAGTACCTCGTAATGCAATGGGCAAGTATTCTTGCATCAACATATGGTGATCATAACTTTTCATCCCAACTAATTTCTTCTCATTCAATTGCACACATCGAGAGATATTGGATGAAAATTCATCAGGAGGCTTAATTAGCTTTAATATTTTTAAGAACATTCCCTTCTCATCCCGATTCATTTGATAACATGCCCTTGGCATGAAAGTAGTATCACTTCGAGGTCGCTTTTTGGGATGCAATTCCTTTCTTATACCCAATTGTATTAGATCAAGTCGTGTTTCATAGTTATCTTTTGACTTTTTTCCTTGACCTAAAAAAGTCCCCACAATGTTCTCAGATACATTTTTTTCAATGTGCATTAGGTCAAAATTATGACGCAACAACAAGTGCTCCCAGTATGGCAACATAAAAAAAATACTTTTCTTTTTCCATGGACCACCATCTACTTTTTCAGCAAGAAATTCTGTACCATCTAACTGTTGGAGAACCTCCTCTCCGGAAGAAGGTTTTGGGGCAACTCATAATTCCTCTCTTCCAACAAAGGATTTAGTGTCTCTACGCCAATGATGGTTAGTTGGAAGCCATCTTCTATGACACATGTAACAATACTTTTTTCCATGGGTTAGCCATTTAGAATCAGTATCAAAACCACATAATGGACATGCAAGTGCTCCTTTGGTGCTCCACCCAGATAAATTGGCATAACCGGAAAGTCGGATATAGTAGAGAGAACTGATGCCTTTAATTGAAAGTTTTGTTTAGTTGAGGCATCAAATGTCTCAACTCCAACATCCCACAACTCCTTCAATTCTTTTATCAAAGGTTGCATATACACATCTATCTTGTTTCCGGGGGCTCTTGGACCGGGAATAATTAAGGAGAGAATGAAATTAGGTTGTTTCATAACCAACCATGGTGGCAAGTTGTAGGGAATAAGAAAAACAGGCCAAATACTATGCGACACGTTCATTGTCCTGAATGGGTTAAAACCATCACTTGCTAGAGTTAAACGAACATTGCGGGGATCACTAGCAAATTCTGGAAATTTTTTATCAAAATCTTTCCAGGCTAGTGCATCAGCCGGATGTCGAATCTTTCCATCTTCCACACGTTCCACATGGTGCCACTTCATTAGGCTAGCTGTCTTCGATGACATGAACAATCTCTGAAGTCTAGGCTTCAAAGGAAACCACCGTAATATTTTTGATGCCTTCTTCTTAGGTGGAATCGTTCCATTTTCTGAATTATCTTGAGACACTTTCCATCTCGATGATCCACAAACAGAACAACATTCATCTTTCTCCTTCTCTTCCCAAAATAACATGCAACCGTTAGGACATGAATGGATTTTTTCATATCCTAATCCCAGTTTAGCCATTATTTTTTTCACTTGTGGGGTGGTCTTTGGTAACAAATTTCCTTCAGGTAACAAATCTTTTAAAAACTCCAACAACATAGACAACGATTTGTTACTCCATCCATTAAGACACTTTAGATGGTACAGATGCACTATGCTAGATAACTTGTTGTATTTGCAACTCGGATATAACTTCTCTTCAACTTCCTTAACTATATTATCAAATGTTCTTCCTTCATTTTCCACCTCTTGACCATTATTTAAGGTAGCCTCGTGTGCCTCTACTCCAGTTACGTCGATCTCGGGTTGAAATACATCATTCAACATTTCATACATGTCATGGTCAAATAGATCTTCCTCTGCATTATGTACTATACCAGACGATGTAGTTGTTGAGCCTTCCCCATGATACACCCATACCAAGTATTCTGAACGAAACCCGAAACATATGAGGTGATCCAAAATATCTCCCCTTCCACGATAATACATATTCAGGCAACGTGCACAAGGGCATAATATCTTTCCGTTAACATTTGATCTCTCAAATGCAAAATTTAAAAAAAATTGAACCCCATTTATAAAAGGTTCACTACATCTTGGTGCAGAATACATCCAAGATCTATCCATAACTGCTCCAATGAAAATAAACAAGTTACATAGTTGCAACATGTGCAAGTTTGAAGCCTAATCAACTCTTAATGGAATCATATAAACACCAGGAGGATGCTAAGAAACTAACAAATTCATGAATGTTGGAACACATAAAGAAACATAGACTAGAGCTAGTTGCAACATGTTCAAATTTGAAGCCTAGTCAACACGTAAACAACCTTGCTTAAAAGGTCAACCAATTGTTGTAGTACAATAAAACTCACTTAAGAAACTATATCATCAATAAAAATTAATATTAATTTGAGAAATATAAACATATATTATAAAAATAACAAACTAGATGAGTGGTTTTCATACATGATATGACAAAAACAATAACTATTACAAAAAGTGAAACTATATGTCATTTTATTTGTAGTAATGGAATCATATAAACATAGGAAGAAGCTAAGAAACTAACATATGAGAAGCTGAAAACAAAAGGTGAAAAGTGTTTCGCGCGAAGAGAGAAGTTTCAGAATGTGTAAGCAGAGTTTGACGCCACAATTTACTCTATTGTATTAACTGATAACGCATTAAAGGCAATGTACTTATGTTTTTTTACCCAAAACTATAATATAGTCGTGTATAAAAATTAATATTTTTTTAAAATTAGACAATGTATAGCATTTTGTTCATTAATGTGCTGGAAGGGTAAAATTGTCTTTTTTCAAAAGTTTGACAACCCTTTTGTTAGGGTTGTTAAGTGCATGGACTTAATTGTTATCAAACTACCCATTAAGGGCCACCGGTGTTAAAATCTCAATAAAGAAGACCAAAAGTGTTAAAAATAGAAAACTACAAGGAACAAGACTATAATTTACTCTAAAATTAATTTACTCTACTAGGACCACCGATGTTTGGTTTTGATACAAAATTTTATCTTCTTAAAAGTTTGTTATCTATCTGAGATGGTTTTGATTCTAAACTCAAAAAGTACATGATAAATACAAATGAAATGAAGTGATAGAAAAAGATGTAAACGAAAAAGAAACAAAGTATCAAAAATTTGATGATGTATGCTTCAGTTTGTCCCCCAAAAATATTTATCACAAACGTATTATAGAGTATAAAAAATCTTATGAGATAATCATCATATATGACAATTTTTAACCACAAAATATTTGAGTGTCATATTGTAAAAGATCAAAATTTTAATTACAAACGACGCCACTAATCTTTTGGGATTTCATTTATTTCCTTTGATACAAAATATTATTATTATTATTATTAGAACCTTGGGTTACTGTTATAAATAGAGTGTCATATTATTATTAGAACTTGCCAACAAATATATGGAACATAACTTATTTGGAAAGTGAAAGGAAACAGGCCCTAAGAAGAAGCACATACCATATTCATATTGTAGAAACTAGAAACTATAATAACAAATGTCTTAGTTGCCAACAAAGATCTAAAACGTATTGATTTTTACTACTAGTAAGTAAAGTAAAGTAAACTCAGATCCACAAGTCAGATAGGATAGGCAGATGAGACAGAAAGTGAGTGATCATGTAGCAAGCACTTAATGGGTATAGACAGGAAGCAAGCAAGCAGAGTCCATTTATCACCAAAACCAAATAAAACCGTTTTCCTTCAATTCAACAAGTTCTCAATTCTCATACACCTGAACCAAATACATCATTTAACCAATAATAAAAACTCAACAACAGTAAAAAAAAAAAAAAAAAAAAAAATGATAGAAACGTAACAGTAAGAAACCTACACTTACTGATTAAAACCTACGTGTTGAAAAATAACATCTTAAAAACCTATGCTTTATCTTATTTTTAGCAAATATAGCTTACCAAAAGAAGAGCAAATAACACTAAACTTCAGACATCTACCACTGATACAAATAAGACAATCTGACACGTAAAAGAGTTGAATATAAGAGCAGGTATAAACTCATAACATATATTTTAGTTATTTTCTTATTAATGGATTTCATACTCAAGGAGATGATATGGCAAAGTATTTTTTATTTTTATTTTTTAACCCACTTCTTTTCAAACTAGACATATATAATAATAATAATAATATGTCGAACTCATGATTTCTTTCTTTGCATCGTAGGATACAAGTGAAGGGATTTGCAAAGCACTTTTCTGCAAGCTTTCTATGGGGTTTTTTTTCAATGGTTCTTTATAGGAAAAGAAGAAGAATGCCGATCTGTTCAGTTTCCTGCATTCGGTTTAAAAGCTTGGAAAAACACGTTTGTCTGTTCTTAATTTACTAAAACTTTTTTTCCATCGATTCTGATTAATGGGGTGGGTTTGTTTGAATTTGGTTGTAGGTTTTACTTTGACTTTAGTATGACTTATGTGGGAACAGGAATGATTTTTCCTCACATTGTGAACTTGTCATTGCTAATTAGAGCTGTGGTTTCATGGGGTATAATGTGGCCCTTAATTGGAAAAAACAAAGGTGACTGGTATCTTCATAGTTTGCCTGACAGCAGCATGAAAATTCTCAATAGCTACAAAGCCTTTATTTCTATTGCTCTGATCCTAGGAGATGGTCTATACAACTTCGTCAAGATACTATACATCACATCCATGAGCATACATAAAAGATTCAAGAACAAAAGCCTCAATCCAGTTAGCGATAAGAAGGTGAGTGAAGTTGAGCTAAAACAAAATGTTTATTTCAGAAAGACAAAATGCGATCACTAGTTCTAATAATAAAAAACTATTGGACTTTTAAAGGTACTAGTGGCAGCCTCTCATAAAATTGATAAACCCTAGCAGTTTGGGCAATGATTTTGCAACAAATCGAGCAGTATAAAACTTCAAATTTACCAACAAATTAAATTTGTAAATACGCTTATTTGAGCAGAAAGATACCTAACAGTGAATTGACGATACAGCGACGACGATAGTGGAAAGGGCAGCTATCGAGGAAGCGTCAACAATCGA